GCGGTTGAACCGTATCCTGGTTGCAACCCAGATGGCCCTCCAAGAGACATTCTTTCCCAGTGACAACACTTGCGCTGAAGATGTCCTGAGAGATCGCCCGAACCTAGCTTGGTTGTTTCTTAGCCAGGCTGACAAGTCACGGAAGTCTTCTGCTTGGAGGAATCTCTGGGAATGACAGGGTAGCACTTAGCGCCCCACAGTGTTTCCCAGCCAGTGTGGCCTCGTGTCAGAGGTCTAAGGGCAGAAGCTCAGCGACGTCCTCACAGGATTCACTTCTCATCTGAGGTCCAGATTTGTCAGTGGCCGTATGGAGCTGCTCTGTATGCATTATGGCAGACAGGCAGCTGTGTGATCTGCATTCCTGTATTTCACTCAGATGATTTGCTGTCTTTCATTATAGCTGGGTTAACACGGTGACACGGCAGATGATTTGTATCTTCCTGGCAACTTTTTTTTTGATGATCGCTGAGATGATCTTTTTTTCCCTTTGTCCCCAGTTTTTTGAAAAAAGGTGACTACGAGTTTTTATGGGATTAGGAAAACATTTTCTCTAAAAATGTCAACCACAGTCATCTTACAATGGTTTAGAAGATAATCATTCTATAATGTGTCATTATAAAAGGTAGGAAACTCTGGAAATTATCTGTTTTCAGCACCTGGAGTGAAAAGGAAGCATTAGCATAGTGTATTGAATTTTAAATAAAGTCTGTAACTTTGTTGGTAAACAAACATGATTTTGTTCTCAAGGACAAGATTTGAAAAGTTTTTAGTAGGAGTGTTGGAGGATAATATTGGAATAGGGTGGCACTAACAGCCAACAGACAGTTTCACACGATAAAGGGACATGCATTGATCTAACTAAATATTAGGGCTGCACGATAAATCGAAATGGAATCGAAATCGCGATTCGACAGAAGCTGCGATTGTCATGTGTATCTTTCAGTGAAGCACGGTTCTGTGATCAGCAGTAAATCTCCATCCAAAGGCCAGAGGGCGCTCTTGCGCTGAAACTCCAAATATGCCTCGCAGAAGAAACCCAGAAAATGCCTATCGCTGCAGCGGAATAAACAGAAGATTTAACTGCTTTTATTGATTCAACGTGACTAATAAACACATGATTATGACAATATATGGTTTATCTGAGTTATTATTATTATTATAATTTTCATTAAAATAAAGTATATTTATAATGCAATGCCTTTATCACTGCGTAGAATACTATGAAATATGTTGCGTGCCTTATTCTGTGTAAGAAGCCACATCATCTCACAGAAGGATTTTGAGTTTGGAGTAAAAAATATGTTATTAAATGTGGTATTTTCACATGCTTTCAGATGGAGCAGCATTTACTTCACAGAGCCGTAGTTCACTGAGAAGCTATGCAAACAGCTGTCATTATCGTGAACGATTTCTTCGATTTCATAATCGCGCAATAAAATCGTCTGCAGTTTTTTTTTGCGTAGTCAGTGAACTACGGCTCTGTGTAGTAAATGCTGCTCCATCTGAAAGCACGTGATGATGATTTACTGCTGATTACAGAACCGGCTTTACTAACAAAATGCGCATGACAATCGCATTCAATTAAACGTGCAGCCCTACTAAATATATAACGAAATTACTTATTTCAAAATGTTTAAGCTGGTTATTGCAGTGTTAACAAACAAATCTGTAAAACACCCCTTAAATCTTGCCCAGGCTTTCCTGAATGAAATCCCAAGATGCACTACTCCCCTCCCCGGTGAGATAAAAATGTGACATTTTTCTCTTTCATGTTTGGAAAGCGAGTTTTCTTCTCTCTATGGGGAGTATTGTTCTTGGAGAATGTTTTTGTTTTAGCCTGTGCTGTTTTGTTAGGTGATGCTGCTTGAAAAGGAGGCGTAAAATAGTCTTAGTCAGGGGGAAAGGGAATGTGTTTCTCTCTCGCTCGCTGCGTGTGTCAAACTCTCGCCCCATACCGATACAGCCCAGGGTTGATTAGGGGGGTCCGTCCATGTTGAAAGAGACGCCCCAGCATGGAGTCCGAAAGGGACCCCTTTTTCTCTTACCCACACAGAGGCATCACAAGAATAGAGAAAACATCCACCAAACCTTGCTTTGAATATCAAACAGAGCAAACAGGATTAAGGTTATTATGTGTAAGATATTGAAATCCGAAAAAGGGGAGTGGCCTTCGCTGACCATATTTTCTATAGTGTCTCTGTTTGAGCTTGGCTCATTAAAAAAGTTCCATCATGTGGTGAGATAAGAAATAAAGCATCCATGACAGGGAGTGAGGAGGTTTCGTTTGATTTTTGGGAGGATTGGGATTAAAAGCGGGTCTGGAGTTACAATACCTAGCGAATTGTTTTTTTTTTTTGGATAACTCTTGGATCCCAGAAGGTCATCTGATGAAGGGAAGTTGGTGTGTTAAAGTAGATATTCGTTTACCAGCTTCATTTAGCGAACTTTAAAATAATCTAATAAGCGTCCACCATGGAGTCCATTACTCTGGTCGTTTCTGTTTTGGCAATGTTCATCATGATGGGCGTCCAACATGGAGGAACTCCAGGAGTTCCTCGCCATGCAAGCCTCAGGAACCCATCAAACCATTGGTGTAAGCGTCTACGAGGAAGCTCGTTAGGAGACCATCACGGTCCGACGACACCTCGTCATCACAACAGCAAGGCACATAAATGCTACCAGGTCTTCCAGAGTAAGTTCACAATAAATGCATGTGTCTGAAATGAGGGTTAGATTAGCACTGAATTATGCCTGGAGTTTTATGTTTGTACGCTGATTCAAAGTCGATGTACAAGTTGTTTCATGCTGCTATGAAATGTTGAGCTCTTTTGATGAGGGTTTAGCACTCAAATGAACAATATGTTAAATCAATGAGCTCAGGGTTTTTGTTTTTTCAGTTTTTAAGGGTTCTGGAAATGCTACACAGGAGGTTTGATGTAGAGAAACAGGAGAATTGTAGTTTGGCTGTCCTTCTGTGTTCTTAAAGGACAGGTGAAGGACTGATATTTGGCTCAGATGTTGGACGCACTCTTCTGTCTCCTCAGCATAAAACTGCCATAGCCACCAGTATATTAGGCTGTTTGACACAACTCTGGACTAGTGAAGGTCAGGAACTTTGGTGGCAGAATGGATTTAGAATATAGTCACAAATCTTAGGGGAAGCTTGGTGTGAATGGACTGTTGTTTAGTAGTTTAGAGATATGCCTGTTTAGTTTTTTTTATTTTTTATTTGGGGGTTATTATGAGGGTTTTGGCATACTACCAGGAGAAAAGATTAGACACACTGCACTGAATTTGTTTCAGATGTTCAACTGTTAATATCTTTGATTGTGAAGTTAAAAAACCTTTGAATCTAAAGGCATTTTTAAATGGATGACTTGGAACAGAGAGTGTATTTGTGGTAAATTTACATTTTTGTCACTACATAATTCCCATGGCATTTGTGTTCTTTAGTTTGAATAATTATCCTAAAATGTGGAAACTACACAGAATAAAGAATGTGTAGATATCACATTTTCACTGGTACTACAAGTATATATTAGAATTTGTATTAAGTTGCAATTACAATTTTAATCATTCACAGTCCTGTCTGGTTTTCACTGTCCTATATATTAAAAAAGATAAAAGCTCAGGGACAATTTTAGGATTTAGCCTTAGCCCCTTGCTTGAGCATATACTGATGTGGCTCAGAGGAATATTTCTGGCTTTGCAAAAGGTTGTGCATTTTACTCAGAATTACATTTTGTCTGTTTGTTAGTATATTTGTTGTGGTGGATCATTTGATTACATTCTATTTTGTGAATTCACTGGAGCGGAGGTGAATTTAGATGAGAAATGCATGTGTATGCAACAGATTTGTTTAAGAATTTAAGAGGGCCAGTGAAGGAAAATGAGGTACAGGAACACATGCAAACAGACATTAATTATAATGGACTTTTAGATTTAAGATATACAATTGTAAAGTCCCCAAAATATGTCTTAGTTATGTTCCAATAGCTGCATTTTTTGTATTCTAACATCTCTTTGAAATTGGCTGCAGTGTAGTGGAGACCAGCAGAGGGCGCTGTTGGGTTACGTATGGCGCGCCTGTAGATGAATGTGGAGAGTCGCACATCCCTGTACAATTACTCCTTCAAAAGACCTTTTCTTAAGTAAAACATTAAAAAATAATAATAAACCACAACCTTAATAGAGGCATATGAGTTCAACAAATGCAATTTTGTAGATAAAGACAAACACGCACACGAACCAATGTGAATCCCGCCTTTCCAATAGATATGCAAATAAACTACTCCGTAAATCCACATAAATGCGTCGCCTTTTAAAATAATTAAGAGCAAATTATTCTGTTTCACCAAAGCGGGGAATGTCTTTTAAAATGTAAATTCATTAAAGTTTGATCAAACACACTCTTGCCTTGAGGGAACCGTTTCGTTCACAGGCGAAGCCGCGCTGAAGAGGTTAATCAGTGTTGCCAGATTACTCAAATGTAATTACTTGATTTTATTCATCTGCTTTTTTGTAGCATAAACTTGCATAAAATACACCATGGGTCTGTATTACGTTAAAGTGCTCCTTAAAAATAAAGTGTCCTTTCAATAATATATCCTTTTACAAAAATATTTAAAATGACTTATAATGACTTAAACAATTTTTTGTACATTTGTAAACATTCTATTAGCTAATTTCTTTTGTGTGTTGAATTACACTGTGTTTTTTTTTTTAAATCAAGCAAATACAAGTTACTATTAGTTACTAAATGTTAGTCGTTTTAAACATTTGAGAAATGCGAAGTGCACACGTTTTATGAAAAGACTTTCTAAAAATAAATAAATAAAAACCAAGTCGATTATAAGCGGAACTGGCAACAGTGAGGTTGATTCTCCTTAGGAACAATCCATTGTTCAGTCCTCGGAGGGGGAGCCTGGGACATACCATGCCGTTTACTATTCATGCTGTTTGAATGAAGTACCGTTGTTTCAAATCCCCTCAGCCCGCAGTGACGGGGGACCTCAATGCATAGATCCAAATATTGAAACACTGAGGGGAAAAACTGAAAGAAGAGGAAAAAACAATAGAGGGGAAATATTGGAATTACATTTGAATTTACAAAGCAATGGAAAAGTGGAAGTGATCTACATCCAATGGACTTCAGTCAGCAAATTCTTCAGCATCAGCTTCTGCTGTTCCAATGGAAACTGAAGTTTCTGAGTTCGAAATGACTTATTCACGTTGTTTCTGAACGATGTGACACTGGTCGCTTTTCTAGGCTGGGGACCTTATTACATTTAGAACTTTGGAAAAGAGTTCGAGTTCTTTTCTTTTCACTGGCTTTCTATGGGCTCTTTTGGGATGCGATCAGCGGATACAAAGTGACCAGCTCTGCGCTTGCAGACTTATAATTCCTTTGGAGGTCATTTCAAAATATTGCACGGTTTTTTAAACTTTGTTTACGATTGACCTCGAGCTTTTCATTCATTTTGGACTCGTGGAGTGCGTGTTTGAATACAAATAAACTGGATTACTATCAGATTAACGGGGACCTTTACAGAAAAAAAACAGCAAATTTGCGTTACACTCAAGTATTCTGGAAAACAGAAATATATTGCATTTGGATATTATGAAGGATCAAAAACGCACAAAACTCTGATTTATTTTTTATCTTTTTTTTATTTTTGCGGATTACACACAGTTCCCTAAACGCGAATATTTGAACGATGACGGGCAGAGTTATTGGATTCGTGCTATTTATCGCAGTTATTCACATTTGCACAGGTACGTACTTTTAGTTGAATAATCAATTTTGAACGAGCACTTTCAGCAACGTTTCTTAAAAAAAACTCGAGTCATGGTTCCAGTGAAATGGGGTGAACGCTTAACATTTGCGAGTCTTTCAATACTGTGGTGATAAGTTGCGTATATAGCCTAAGTTTATTTGACTCTGTTTTATATGTGACTCAGCTGTATCATTTTCAAATGCTCATTACCTACTTGGCGAAATGATCACGAAGTTATTTTTCTACACTGTATCCCCGCATTTATCATGCTCTGCTAATGTAACAGTGGTACTCACTGAAAAGCATGATCTTGATTAAGAATCAAAACGTTTACTTTGCTTTAAGATCACGATGTTTCCACAGACTTTAGCTAAGCATATGAGAGCATTAGTCTAAGTATCCCATAACTGTGCTTTTTATTTGCCATGGCATTTCAAATCTGTCATTGAGTAACTGCTAGCCAATTCTCGTTACCTTTTAAAGTTTTTGTACAGGAAAAGTGAAGAATGAGAACGGTTTTGTCTTTCTTTATGGTGCTGTCCTGTCAGTGTTGCTCCAGTGATTATATGCTAAATCAAAGCCAATGTAATTTTTTACTTCAGTCAGCATTGGTTAGAAACAGCGCTCCCTTGGTTTTGACTGGAAAAGTCATTTTGGTTAGGAAGTGTTGGAACCCTGAAGAAATTTATTTTAAAGTCTTCTTGTTGCAAGCCGTGTTTTTTAAGGTGTTAAGAAAACCACCATTGAGGTAGCCTACATTGTGGATGCCTTGCTTCCTTAATGTATTTTGTGGTGGTTATGCTAAACCTGTTTGTCTTGTTCTTGAGAATAAGAAAATCATTTGTTGCTTTAACCAAGCATTTGCACAAAGTTCACTTTGGCTCTTGAAGTTTATATTATTTTATTATTCATCCTTCATTGCTTTATCATTATTTTTACATTCACCATTCTCATCGCCACCCTTTGACTTTCATTAATGATTAATCATTCAAGTCATTCTTTTTCTCTATTTGCAGTGTTGGGGGTAACGCATTACAAGTAACGCAATCAGATTACTTTTTTCGAAGTAACTAGTAAAGTAACGCATTACTTTTTAATGTACAAGAGAATATATGAGTTACTTTTTCAAATAAGTAACGCAAGTTACTTTTTTTTTCCAATTTATTGATTGACAGCTCTCCAGTCCCCATGTTGAGAGAAATCAGAAGATGTTACTGTAGTTCTAAAATAAATATGAATATGCATTACTTCATATCACTCACAAAAAAAAAAAAAAAACACAGATTCAATATTCCTCAAAATGAATAAAAATAATGCACCTCAGAATATGATGCAAACCTGCAATAATTAAATGTTAAACAACACAGCTATCCTTTATGTATTTAATCCCATTCTATTAACCAATGTCTTTGCTTCTGACCTTCGATGATCCAGTTCAACCATACTAATAAGCAAAAATTA